GGGCCCAGGTGGTTGATCCTGCCGAAGCGACCCTACTCTCCATAGCCAGCACTGGGTACACCTAGCCCAGTGCAGTTGTCGTTCGGCGCCAGTTTCTCGGGGTCTCTGATATGCTTGCCTATTCGACCGGCTTGTCGGCAGAGCTGGTGCGAACAGAATGCACTGCATGCTTCCGACGTGATTGCTCTTCGCTGCACTGAGGGGCCATTGGCAAGTTCCTCGCTCGGAAGTGCACGGCGACTTGGACGCACCACATGTGCACTTTCATCAGGAGCTTAAATCGGAGATCATTCGGAGACGGTCACCAACCTCAGGCCGCACTGCACGAGCATGGCAAGGCGCAGCATGGCGATTGTATGCATTGCTGTGCTCGCGGTACGCTTTTCCATCGGTTTTACGAGTGCCCTCGCATCGCCCAGTTGCGCCGAGAGGGGTGCCCTGACCATGGTAAGGGCGCGGCGACCTTTCTCAGTGACCTCAGCGGAGTTCAAGTGCCTCTGGCCTGATCCTGCGCAGTGCTTCCCTCGCGTGGAGGTTTACAGAGCAGCAGCAGCACAGACTTGCAGGTGCTCGCCATCGCTCGGGCGTCCATTCCCTGTGCTGTTTTCGGTTTCGTGCGTGGTTTTTTCGCCAAATGATCAAGGATGCTCCTCGATTGTCCTCGCCGAAAGAAAAATGCACACATCCGAGCGATGTCAAGGGTGTCTTTCCTGAATGGAAGTGTTCCGTTTCGGCCTTCCGGACGGGAGCGCGTGCTAGTCTGCAATGCTCAGGACTCATTGCGCGGGGGGCGGGCTGCGATTCAGATCGACCGCGCAGGCGACCTGGTGGGAGCTATGTACTGTGCTCTAACCTCCTGCGGGTGCCCCTGGCCAAACGACCAGGGATGGCGATGAGTTCGCATTCAAAATGATCTCTGAGTTCGCAAACGACCAAATTCTCACTCCTCCTCCTCCTCCTCCTCCTCCTCATCCGTCTCCTCCTCCTCCTCCTCCTCTTCCTTCTCCTAATCCTCCTCTTTCTCGTCCTCCGTCTCCTCCGCCGCCTCCTCCGCCGCCTCCTCCCCCATATTCCCTTCCTCCTCCGTACCATCATCATCATCATCATCATCATCATCATCATCATCATCATCATCATCATCATCATCATCATCATCATCATCAGCATCATCATCATCATCATCCTCATCAGCATCATCAGCAGCATCAGCATCAGCATCAGCATCAGCATCATCATCATCATCATCATCATCATCAGCATCAGCAGCATCATCATCATCATCAGCATCATCATCGTCATCATCATCATGATCATCATCATCATCAGCAGGATCAGTACCATCATCATCGTCATCATCAGCATCGTCATCAGTATCATCATCATGATCAGCAGCATCAGCATCAGCATCAGCATACCCATCATCATCATCATCAGCATCGTCATCATCAGCATCAACCGCAGCATCACCATCATCAGCATCAGCATCCGCCGCATCATCAGCATCATCAGCATCAGCACCAGCGTCGGGATCAGCATTAGCATCAGCATCGTCACTTGCAGCAGCATCATCACCATCATCGTGTTATTCCTCATCCTCATCAGCACGTTCGTCATTGTCAGCACTCGCGTCATCACCATCAGCATCACCACCATGACCATCATCAACATCAGAATCATCAACATCATCGTCATCACCATCCGCAGCAGTATTAACATCATCATCATCATCATCATCATCATCATCATCATCATCAGCATCAACCTCACCACCACCATCAGCACCAGCAACATCGTCGCTAACAACATCGTCAGTACCATCATTAGCGGCATCAGCATCGTCGTCATCACCACCAGCATAATCATAATCATCATCATCAGCAGCATCGTATCATCAACATCATTGTCATCCTCACCATCGTTGTCATCATCATCGTCACCCTCATCAGCATCAGCATAAGTATCATCATAAGCATCGTTAGCAACGGCATCAGTGACACCAGCCTCACCACCAGCAGCTTCAGCATCAGCATCGTCAACATCAGCATCGGCAGTTTCGGCACCAGTATCATTACCATCGTCCTCGTCATCGTCATCAGCATCATCAGCATGATCAGCACCATCATCGACACCATCATCATCATCATCACCATCATCAACATCAGCATCGTCGACGTCATCATCAACAGCATCATCATCCTAAGCATCAGCATCACCAGCATCACCATCATCAACATCGTCATCACCATCATCAGCAGCAGCATCAGCAACATCATCACATCTGCCCTCCTCCTCCTCCTTCTCCTTCTCCTCCTCCTCCCCATCCTCTTCCTCCGTCACGCCCCAATGGACACCAGAGCGGGTCGTTGGGGTAGTGCGAGCACCGCACCTGAGTCGGGGGGGGGGGGCAGGGGATAGGGCCGCTGTCCAAACAGGCTCCCCATCGGCGCCTGGTCGCCTCATCATCATCATCTCATCATCATCCCCCTCCTCCCCCGCCCTCCTCCTCCTCCTCCTCCTCCTCATCATCATCATCCTCCTCCTCTCCCGCCTCCTCCTCCTCCTCCTCCTCCTCCTCCTCCTCGTCTGTCTCCTCCTCCCCGCCCCCTTCTCCTCCTCCGCCTCCTCCTCCAGGACCTATCCTCCCCTTCCACCTCGTCCTGCTCCCCCCTCCTCCGCCTTCGCCTCCTCCTCATCCTTCTCCTCTTCCTCCTCCTCCTCCTCCTCCACCTCCTCCTCCTCCTCCTCCTCATCGTCGTCGTCATCATCATCATCATCATCATCATCATCATCATCATCATCATCATCATCATCATCATCATCATCATCATCATCATCATCATCATCATCATCATCATCATCATCATCATCATCATCATCATCATCATCAGCATCATCATCAGCATCATCATCATCATCATCAGCATCATCAGCATCATCATCATCATCACCATCCTCGTCCTCCCACCATCCCGTCCCCACCAGCAGCATATTCATCCTCAGTGCCTGCAGCACCATCAAATCATCGTCATCATCGTCACCATCATCATCATAATCAGCATCACCATCACCATCTGCAGCAACCTCAGCATCATCATACTCCTCGGCATCATCGTCAGCATCATCATCAGCGCCATCATTATCAGCAGCAGTCGCATCATCATCAGCAGCATCAACATCATCAGTATCATCACCATCGTCAACAACAGCAACATCATCATCACCACGGCATCAGCATCAGCATCCGCATCATCATCAGCATCAGCATCCTCATCAGCCGCATCATCCTCAGGATCACCATCATCAGTATCAGCCGCATCAGCATCATCATCAGCAGCATCATCATCAGCGTCATCATCATCAACAACATTATCTCCATCAACATCAATATCAACAATCGTACCCTCCTCAATCTCACCACCACCACCACCACCAACACCATCGTCATCACCATCACCATCACCAACATCCTCATCATCAACACCATCATCGTCATCATCAACACCAGCAGCAACACAACCGTCAACATCACCAGCATCAGCATCAGCATCATCATCAGCATCAACATCAGCATCAGCATCGTCGTCGACGTCATCATCCTCAGCATCATCGTCATCGGCATCAACATCAGCATCAACAGCCTCACCATCATCGGCATCGTCATTATCATACGCAGCAGTATGTTCATGACCAGGGATATCATCATCACAATCGTCATCAGCATCACCATCATCAGCAACAGCAGCAACATCAACATCGTCCTCATCCGCAGCATCATCGGAATCAGCATCAGCACCATCGCCATCGCCAACATCGTCATCAGCAACAGTAGCAGCACAACCACCATCATCACCAATATCATCGGCATCATCATATTATTAGTAGTCCTCCACCTCCCCCTCCTCCTCCTTAACATCATCATCAACATCATCAGCATCATACGCAGCATCACCATCAACATCATCCTGGTCATCAACCTCATGATCAGCATCAGCATCGTCATCGTGACCGCCATCACTATCGACATCAGTATAATCAGTACCATCAGCAACATCATCAGCCTCAGCACCAGCATCATCATCAGCATCAACATCAGCATCACCGTCGTCGCCATCCAAACAAGCACCATCCACAATGCCAGCATCATCAGCAGCAACCGCATCCGCATCATCATCATCAAGAGTAATGTCACCACCGCTATAACCGCCTGCGCCACCACCATCCTCATCGTTGGTGGAGGGGGGCGGCGTCATCATCAACACCTGCACCAACAAAAATACACTAATGATCGCATTACCACAACCAACATCATTGCCGTCACCCGCCTCGAGTGTTCGACATGGAGGATCCCCCCATTCCGCCCCGTCCTCCTTCATGTTCCTCCTCCTCCTCCTTCTCCTCATCATCCTCCCTCCGCCTCCTCCTCCCCGTCTCCCGAAGAGACGTGGGATGGGAGAGTGCGTTGCAGCGTCGTTGGTGAACCCTGGATGTACTCTCCTGCCCCGCCCCCTCCAATCCTCTCCATAGCAACCATAAAGAACTCCCTGCCGCACCATAGGACGAGTCCGTAGGCTGGGCCAGGCGACTCGCTGAAGACTCCCCTGCCATGTCGCATCCTGAAGCTGAAACTAGATTTCTGTCAACACGGACCGCCAACAGCACATGACTGCAATAAGGATGCGTAAGGTATGGGGTGAGAGCTATGTGGTGCAAGCTACGTGGTGTGAGCTAACTTGTGTAAGATGTGCAGTGCAAGCTATGAGATGCAAGCCATGTGGTGCAAGCTACGCGGTGCAACAAATGTGGTGTAAGGCATGTAGTGTGAGCTGTGTGGTGGTTTAAGTTGTGCGGTGGTGCAAGCTGTGTGATGTCAGCTATGCGGTGCAAGATCCGCCACCGTGCCTCGAGGCACGAAGTAGGTTTGCCCCCAGGCTCTCTTGTGTTCTCTGTCCTCTGTACTCAGGACTGGGGGATTCTAGGATTCTAGTGGCTGGGGCCCCCAATTCTCAAATTTCCTGGGCACTCCCGCGCGCTCCTGGGCTGCCTCACGATCGCAACGCGTCGCCAATGCCGTACGCAATGGAATGATAAACGCTCTACACAACTAAAACGATGGCTGACAAGACTTCGCTTGCTCACTGTAGAGTCTCGATCCTCTGAAGTTTCTCGAAGAATCGGAACCGTCGCTCAAAAAGCACAAGAAGGTTGCTCACACAGTGCCGCGCGAGAATGCGGATCCTTCAAGCACGACGCAAGCTACCTAAGGAGCTTCCTGGCGAGCATAGACTGGATGGGCCAGATGTCAGCCCTGGTTTTGCTCAGGTCCTGCTTGACCTTTGCCGAGCCAGGGACGTCCGTGTAGACAGAGCAGTAGGCACTGCTCACGAAGCCAACGGCTCCGGCCGAGCGCACCGAGAAGCCTGCACAGTACCTGAGAGGATAGCTCATGTACTCCACTTTCTTCCCCGTCCAGCCTTGAACGTCCACGAACAGCAATCGCTTGGTGGTGAAGACGCACATATCGCGCCCGACCTTGAAGCACAGATCCACGGACTCGTCGTCCTGGAGGATCGGAGGGGACTCGTGCAAAGTCTTATTCACCTCCCCCGGGTTGATCTCGTGCGCGTCGTCCCCGATCCACGCCAGGAAGCCTTCTATGCCAGCAGGGGATGCAGCGACCTGCCCCCCGAAGGCGGCGGTCGTGGACCCGTCGTCCACACCGAAGACTTGCGCAGCCAAGAAGGCCTGGATTGCAATGATGTCCGCCCGACCTTTCCGCAGGTCCTGCTTGATCACGGAGCCCGGGGCGCCGTTGACCCAGTAGGTCTTGCAGAAGAGCTTGAACTCGGCGTCCCTGTCCCAGGAGCCGGCGGACTCGACGGAGAAGGCCCGGAGGCTCGCGTAGGGGACGCTCTTCCACTCGACCCTCTTCCCCGTGAACCCCTGCACGTCCACCAGCAGCGCGCGCTTGCTCGTCAGCAGCGCCAGGTCTCGCCCCGACTTGAAGGCCATGCAGACGCGCTCGCCCCTCTGAAGCACGGGACTCTCCGAGTGCAGCTTCCGCTCGATCTCGCCGGCGTCGACCGCACGGGCGTCGTCGCCGACCCAGTTCAGGAAGCCCTCGACGGCCCCAGGGGGCGATGCCTGCATCGCCTCCGGTGGGACGGGCACGTGCGGAGGCAGCGGGCCAGCCCCGCCCTCCGACCTCAGGCATCGCTCGGCGAGGTACCTCTGGACCGCCATGAGGTCGACCTTGTCCTTCTGGAAGTCGATCTCGATGTAGGATTTGCGGGGGATCGGCGGGGGAGGCGGGCTGTCCTTGTCTGGTGCTGGTGGGTAGAAGATGTCGTTGATGTCTGTCCAGATCATCATCTCCGAGTCCTTGTCCATCCAAGAGCCCGCGGAACGGACCCCGAACGCCTGAACGTTTTTCCAGGGCACACTGAAGTAGTCGACCTTCTTGAAGCCAGCGAAGCCCTTAAGGTCCACCTGCAGGAAGCGCTTGTTGGTGAAGAGGCTCAGGTCCCGCCGCCCCTTGAAAGCCATCTCGACGTGCTCCGACGGCTGCAGTATGGGCGGGTCCGACCGGTACTGCCTCTCCACCTCGGTGGCGTCGATCATGCGGCAATCGTCGCCGAGCCAGGCGAAGAGGCTCCCCGAGCCCGCGTCCGCATGGCCCGCCGCGCGGACCGCGTGCTGCGAGACCGGGGCACTGTCCTCCCCGAGCACCTTGTCCGTGACGTACCTCTGGACCGCCATCAGGTCCACCTTGCCCTTGCGAAAATCCTGACTGATCCTCGGCATGCCCTTGATGCTGGTGAAGAGGATCATCTCGGCGTCCCTGTCGAGCCAAGACCCCGCCGACTCCACGGAGAAGGCGCGGACGCTGCTCCAGAGCACCGACAGGTACTTCACCCGGCTGCCGCTGAGGCCTTTCACGTCGATGATCAGAAGCCGCCGCGAGGTGAACAGGAACGAGTCGCGCCCACACTTGAAGGCCAGCTCGACCCTCTCCTCGTCCATGAGGATCCTCGGCTCCTGCTTGAGCTGCCTCTCCACACGGCTGGCGTCGATCTGGCTCGCGTCGTCGCCGAGCCAGTCCAGGAAGCCGCCGACCCTGCCTGCGCCATCCGCCTCCTCCACGCGCTCGCTCGCGGGGGCCCCCCCCGGGACGTCGGCGCCGGTGCTGCCGCCGACGAGGATCATCGCGTTGAGGTGCCTGGCGATGGCAAAGAGGTCGACGCCCTTGACAAAGTCCATCGATGTCTCGCCCCCGCCAGAGGTCTGGAGCTTCAGCGTGCAGTCAGAGTCGAGAACGCTGCCCGCCGTCTCCACGGAGAAGGCCTTGATCGCTTCGTACGGCATGCTCTGGTACTTCACCGCCTTGCCGGTCATGCCCTGTACGTTCCTGATCAGGATGCGTTTCGTCGTGAAGAACTTGTCATCTCGCCCAGCCCCTCCTCGATCCTTGAACGCGAAAATGACCCGCTCGCTCTCCGTCAGGAGATCTGGGCAGTCCTTTCGGAGACCCGCCTCGCCCGCTGCGGCATCCGTCTGGATAGCGTTGTCGCCCACGTAGGCCACGACTTTGGAGAACATGGCCCAGGAGCCGACGGAGCGATCTTGTCTCGAGGCGCACGGCTTGAGCCCAAATGGCTACGTAGAATGATGATGATGATAATGATGATAATGATGATGATGATGATGATGATGACGATGATGATGATGATGATGGTGATGGTGGTGGTGGTGGTGAAGATGATGATGATGGTGGTGGTGGTGAAGATGATGATGATTATGATGATGATGATGATGATGATGATGATGGTGGTGATGATGATGATGATAATGATGATGATGGTGGTGGTAACGATACTGATGATACTAATGCTGATAACGACGATGATGATGACGATGACGACGGTAAGGCCAATGACGGCGTCGATGCTGGTGACGATGATGACAATGATGGTTTCCATGTGCTGGTGATGGGTCGTGATGATGACGGCAATGTCGGCGATTGACGATGACGACAACGGCGGTGATGCAATGGCGCTGATGAGTGTGATGAGGATGCACGCGCGCAGAACGTGAAGACATCTGGCAAATCTGTTCTGATGAGTTCCACCTTGAGATGAGTCGAAGCCTGATGTCCGAAGAGCTCGATCTTCAAATGCGTCAAAGCCCAATGCCCAATGGTCTCGTAAGAATTTCGACACGCGCGTATTTGGCGGCGCGCGCACGTGGCCCGCGTGGTATTATTTGATACGGTTTCGTGCACTGCGCACAGGCTAAATCAACGCGGATGCAACGCGTGGTGAGATGATAATGTAGGTTCTGGACGAGACTGCCCAAATGATATGGTTTTCCGATGGTGTCACCCAGTGAGCGCGGGCAGAACATCTGCAAGCTCCACATCGGAAAAGCAATCATGTTGGATATTGCTATGTTGACATGTTTGCAGAACTGATGCGCGCGCGTGGACTTCGTGCTTCTTGGGCCAGGGATGATCGGAAAATGAGAATTCAAGGCGAACGACAGTGCGCGCATGGTACGATCCGGCAGGGGTGATGGGGGCGTCGATACTGGCTGGGCTGGGATGGTATGGCTTCATGTCCAGAATGAGCGACGACGCACAACGGTCAAATTGTACGATCCCAGAGGAAGCGATCAGCCCAGGCTCGGCAGGATGGTAGAGTCCCAGACATGCGACGTCTTGATCTTTCCAGGACGACGTCCCCAGAAGTCCCGACCCTTTCCCTGGGGCCGGTCTTTCCTTCCGAGTCGCTTTTGGACGCTCCCGCGGCCCGGCGAGGGCCCCCCAGGGCAGAACATGGCGATAAACTTGCCGTCCCGACTCCTGAGGAGGAGGAGGAGGAGAAGGAGTAGAAGGAGGAGGAGGAGGAGGAGGAGCAGGAGGAGGAGGAGGAGGAGGATTTTGGACGCAAAATAAAAAATGCTTACAAAATGCCCACAAAAGATGCCCAAAAATACTCCAAAGATTAGTCCCCAGACTGGGGGGCCCCTTGGATTAAGTCGGGCATGTCCCCCTACAGGTGGATTTTCGACGAAAAATAAAAAAAATACCCAACAAAAATACTCCAAAATGGTATTCAAAAAAACTGTTAAAACAGTCCCCAGACTATTTTTGGGGCTATTTTTTTGAATATTCCCTCTGGAGAGGGACAGGCCCGACTTATAACCGTACGGCAGGTCCGCGCCGCGTCGCCCCTGGCGTCGGTTCGGGCCGGGCGAGACGGGGGGGCATGGCAAAGGGCTATGTCGGGCCTGTCCCCCTACAGGGGGATTTTCGGCGAAAGATAAAAAATGCCCCCCCAAAAAATCAAAAAATAGTACAACCATAGTCTGGGGACTAGTTATTTTTGGAATATTTTTTGCCTTTTTAATATATTTTTGGGGTAGTGTCTATTTGTCGTCGAAAATCCCCCTGCAGGGGGACAGGCCCGACTTCAGCAAAGGGGGGTTTGAGAATCAGCGCACGCAGCTGACTTTCCCGGAGCCTCCCGGCGCCGGAGGCGGCCACGGTGTCGAGGCGTGGGCCCCTCGGCGGGGCTGAAACCAGCTGCATGCAGCAGAGTTCGCACGTCCCCTCTGCCTATCCCCCCCTTCCGTCTGGCCCGATTGGCTCCTGACACCGCGGGGATCGTTCATACTTGAATGATCGGCCATTTCAAAGAGGCTGGGTCGTTCAAGGATGGGCCGACTCTGGGCCACAGGCGGCCTTCAGCCCCCCCACGCTGGGGCCGCCGCCGGCCGACACGGCGCGAACCCGCCGCAGGGCGACGGAGAGTGACATCATAAACAGAACTCGGAGGCCTGCGCGGATTCCTCCAGAGGGCCCCAGCGCGATGCGATGCGATGCGATGCGATGCGACCCGCATTCCAGCCCCTACAGTCGGGGCGTTGACCTAAGGAACCCTAAATAAGGAACGAGGCCCCTTTTTCCCATAAGTAAAGCTTCGATTTCCCGTCGAAAACATAAGGAATGCCTGAGGCAAGCTGTGAAACACTTAAGGAACGCGGAGCCCCTCCCCAACGAAAAGGGTTCCTTGTTCAGGGCCCCGACTGTATGGGGCGGTCCTCTCAGAGGGCAGGCGTATGGGACACGCAGTCCCGGTGACCGGGTGCACTGGAAAATGCGTCGCGCCAGCGCGGAAAAGACGACCGAGAGAACTGCGTCCAGACAGGCATGACATAAACTGCGCATATGGGGGGGCCCCCGCGCCGATGCGAGAAACCCGCGCGGACCTCCGAGTTGTCCTGTCTGTGTCGCGCTCCGTTCCCCCCGAGCCCGGCGCACGAGGCGCCGACGGGGCTCCCACGGGCGGGCCCCGGGGCGAGACCTCGGCACAGCCGCCGCTCGGCGCTGGCGCCCACCAGCCGAGAACCCGCCGCGCCCCTTCGATTCGTTAGGACAGAGACGAGACCCCGAGTGCGAGCACTGTTTGGGGACAGTCTGCAGCAGCCGCGCGAAGGGAGGGCTGGCGATTTTCACGATCTGGCGCTCGCCTTCAGCGCCGCGAAGATTCGCCATGGAAGGCCGGTCCGCTTGCTTCACGCCGCTCTCGCTTGGACGCCACGCGCACTCGTTCTAGAGTCTGCGACCTGTTGCGAGGATCAGGGTGAGCTGCTTCTTTTTTTCTGGGGGGGGAGGAACACGACTCTCGCCTCAGCGCCGCACGCACTCGTCAAGCTTGCAGCAATCACGCCGCTGTAAGAACAGATCCCTGCATCGCCATCCACTGTCGGAGGTCCACGGGGAGTTCCTGGGCCCGCGCCGGAGGGGGCCGCCAGGGGAAGGGGGGGCCGAGCGCCGACCCGAGGAGAACCCGTGCAGACCTCCGGGGGCTGCCATTCTGTGGTGGCGCTGCTCCGCAACCTGAGAAACGAAGCCAGAGCGAGGGCAAATTTGGGGGAGGATACAGTCGGACCTAGGCCAGAAGAACATCCCTCAAGAACACGAGACCCTCCGCTGGCCAAACCAGTGAGCACATCCAAGAGTTCCTCCGCAGGGTGCACAAGAACACCCAGCAAACGCGACGAACTCTAGGGTACCCTTCCCGAACCGACCTCGATCTTATATCTCGGTCCGATTGTACATGAAGAATCTCTGCCAGTCCTTTAGGGTGTAGGTGGTCTAGAGCGTTTCCTCTGCCAACCCCCTGCTTTCCCTTCGGGGAGGGGTTTACCCCTCCCCTTACCCCCCCACCGACCTGGACGAGGGGCTCCGCGGGTCGTTGTGACGTCCAAGATGGGCCCAAGACGTCTCCAAGAGCGAAAAAGCGAAAAAGCACAAAACATTGATTGTCCTTAGGTTTTGGAAGGATACATGAAGAATCTCTGAGATCCGGCGGCTCTGGAGGATGTATACGGCGTCGCGTCCTTCTCAGGGCGTTCCCGAACGCGCTGCGAGCGTTCCAGAACGCTCTGGAACGGATTGATCCTCGTCCTAGCGTTAGGTCGGGCCATGTCCTCCTACAGGCGGATTTTGGAGGAAAAATCAAGAATAGTCCAGCAATACTCAAAAACATCAAAAAGAATGAACATATCGTCCCCAGACAGCTGTTGAACTGCTTTTGAGCATTCCTCCTGTAGCGGGACAGGCCCGACGAAATCCTAGCGCTGACGCCGACAACCTGCCTCGTGGGCCTGGACCCGACCGCGCGGCGGCGGCCCTCGCTGCGCCCGCACCCCCTCGGAGCAGGGCGGGCTGGGACAACGGCAGCCCCGAATCGGCCCCCAGGCCCATCCTGGGGCCCAAGCGCACTGCCCGGGCTGCGTCCAGTCGTGGCGACGCGGCGCCCCCCGAGGGCCAGCTCCCGTCGTCTCAGCTCGCCCGCCTCCGAAGGTGCCCTCTGGCAGCGCCCGGCTGGTCCTCGCCATGGCCACCAGGGCCCGGCATCGGCGGCACGGCGGGGGGGCGGAGCCGGGGCGAAGGGGGGGTGGGCACTTCGCTCTTCCCTCCCCCTCCTCCACCCTCCTCCTCCTCCTCCTCCTCCTCCCTCCTCCTTCCTCCTCCTCCTCCTCCTCCTCCTCCTCCTCCCCTCCTCCCCCTCCTCCTCCTCCTCCTCCTCCCCCTCCTCCTCCTCCTCCTCCTCCTCCTCCTCCTCCTCCTCCTCCTCCTTCTCCTCCTCCCTCCTCCCCTCCCCTATCTCCTCCTCCTCCTCCTCCTCCTCCACCCTCCTCCTCCTCCTCCTCCTCCTCCTCCTCCTCCTCCTCCTCCTCCTCCGTCCTCCTCCTCCTCTCCTCCTCTTCCACCACTCTCCCCCCACCGTCCTCCAACCTCCTCCACCCTCCTCCCTCCTCCTCCTCCTCCTCCTCCCCCCCCCCCCTCCTCCTCCTCCTTCCTCCTCCTCCTCCAACCTCCTCCTCCTCCTCCTCCTCCTCCTCCTCCTGCCTCGTCCACGTTCCTCCTCCTCCTCCTCCTCCTCCTCCTCTCCTCCTCGTCCTCGTCCTCGTCCTCGTCCTCGTACCTCGTCCCGTTCCTCGTCCTCCTCCTCCTCCTCCTCTCCTCCTCCCTCCTCCTCCTCCTCCTCTCCTCCTCCGCCCCCCTTTTCCTCCCCTCCTCGTCCCCTCGTCCTTCCTCCTCCTCCTCCTCCTCCTCCTCCTCCTCCTCCTCCTCCTCCTCCTCCTCCTC